CAACTGGTATAGAGTGAAAACGACAAAGATGCAAAAATTGAAATCTCAAAATTGCCGGGGCGGAGTCGTCACTCCATTCTCGAACTAAATTTTAAATAAAAATTCATAATTCCGATCATAAAAAATGATAGGATACATTTTATTAATTATTTTTTAATAGAAAAATGGAAACATTAATTAAAAACACGATGGCAGAAAATAATTACAAGAAAAAGCGCACTCACTTTATGTGCCCTACGCTTGCGTTGGGCTCTACGCTGACGTTTCTCGTCAGCTCTATTCTGTCATCTCTGAGCACACGCAGCACATATTATCCAAGTCCTCGCCGGAATCGGACCACTGTTGCTTCTTTGATGACTTTGATTTTCGCCAGAAACCTCCATGATATGGCTTGGTGACGACTTCGCCCCGGACACAAGTTTCAAGTTTGGTCGCTTATAAAATATTAGAAATCAATGAAAATAAAAAAATTTCACTGGATTCGTGTTCAGCATGCATTACTCTTTAGAATCACTTACTTTGAGATTCGGAGACACAATAATATTTAAGATATTACAAGTTTTCGACGCGCAAAAAATTTTACGACCTCCGAAAACACGTTTGCCTCGATAAGAATCACAACATGGCACATAACCTCACTAAACTCCGTTGGTTACGTGGACACCATAAGCCGCGCGTTTACAGTATTAATGGCGAGTTTACACAACACACAGATTTCGAGATAATTGCAATAACGACTCCGCCCCGGTGACGACTTTGCCCCGGTCTCTCTTACGTATGTTTAAAATAAACTTTTCTTTTTTTTTTTCTAAATATTATATATTTACATATTTAAGAAAAACATTATGTAAGATACTATAATTATTTTTTATAGTATTAACTTTAATTTATATAATTTTAATTTTTAAATATTTCAAAAATTATTTTAAAGTAGAAATAAAAAACTAATGTATAAATCAAAAAATGGAACAAAATGGAAAAATTAAGAAATATCTGCAATTAGTAGGAATCATTTTAGTAAAAACATTAATTATTTAATTAATATTTTTGTAATAGTATAATAGATATTAGTATAACAGATATTAGTCGCAATAAAGCTTATCACAATGAAAAAAATGTGCAAGTAGAAACTTGCACATTGCTTCCTCAGTTTTTAAGTGTGCTAGTAGAAACTTGCACATTGCTTCCTCATAGTTTTTAAGTGTGCAAATTATAAATTTGCACGTTGCTTAATCAACATTTTATTTCGCTTATAAAGCTTCCTCTATAAGGAAGCCAAATTAATAAATATCTACTAATAATTATGCATTAAAAAAAATAGGCTTCCTCATAAGAGAAAGCTTTATGAGTCGAGCAAAATAAAATGTTGATCAAGCAACGTGCAAATTTATAATTTGCATACTTGAAAATTGTGAGGAAGTATAATGTTCAAATTTATAATTTGCAAGTTTCTACTTGCACAATTTTTATTTCGAGATATATCAAGAAAAGTAAAAGCCCGCCTTTATATATACATATGAGGGGT